ATCACCCAGCAGAAAATTGAAGAAATGGGCTGGGAAGTTCTGCCTCATCCGCCATACAGCCCAGATTTGGCGCCTTCCGACTACCATCTGTTCCGATCAATGCACCACTTCTTGGCCGAGAAAAAGTTCAAGAACCGTGACGAGGTCCAAATTTCGGTGTCCAACTTCTTCGAGTCGCAGCCGGTCGAGTTCTTCAAGAAGGGCATCCATTCTCTGCGTGAACGTTGGCGACAAGTCATTGATGCAGATGGCGAATACCTTTTGGATTAATGTATTGTTATCTTGTTTTTATAATAAAATAAACTTTTAACGAAAACGCGCATTTCTTTTTTGCCAACCTAATAGTTGGCCTGGCTGACCTAGCTGACCTAGCTGATCTAGCTGACCTGGCTGACCTAGCTGGCCTAGCTAACCTAGTTGGCCTGGCTGACCTAGCTGACCTGGCTGACCTAGCTGACCTGGCTGACCTAGCTGGCCTAGCTAACCTAGTTGGCCTGGCTGACCTAGCTGACCTAGCTGACCTAGCTGATCTAGCTGATCTAGCTGACCTAGCTGACCTATCGATGTTGAATAAATTTGAGTTCAAAGTCCCTCAGTTTTCAATTCACCAACCTAATATTTTAGAAATCTATTCTTATCAATCTACTATTAGATAAATGCATAAGAAATGCGGAATTCAACATTTTCATCAATTTCCAAAGATAGAAAGCTGATATCGATGAATGTTATAAACTATTTGAAAGTTGTAAATCTCCTCTACAAAATAGGCTAAAACATTTTTCAATTGATCGAGCCATTGAAGAAATTTCGATGGCGAAATGCGAGTTTTTCAAAAAGTGCTAAAAAAGGGCACTTTTTGAAAACCCCACTTTCACAAGAGTTCGATTTTGACTTAATAGTGGAAAGTGACCACGCTAAAATATCAGTCAAAAATACCATTCAAAATAATTAAGAGTTGGGATCATTTCATGGGAAAACTTTGTTTTTACAATAACTTTTCTTTTTTGTGAAAAAGCCGGTGTTTTTTTGACAATTTTGAGGGTTTTGAACTTACGCTCTATTTAAATTTCTGTAAATGCATTTCCGTTAGACTTTTTTAATGAATTGATATATAGTTATCCTTTTTTTTTTAAATCTTCAATTTTGGGTAGCTAACTCGCTTTTGACCACACTAAACTTGTCCCTAAAGTGACTCGATTCCTTTTTTGGTCACTCGCATTTCGCCATCGAAATTTCTTCAATGGCTCGATCAATTGAAACTCGTTTTAGCCTATTTTGTAGAGGAGATTTACAACTTTCAAATAGTTTATAACATTCATCGATATCTGGTTTCTATCGTTGGAAATTGATGAAAATGTGTTGAAATCCGTATTTCTTATGCATTTATCTAATAGAATCGAGTTTAAATTGAAAATGATAAAAGGCAACTCAATAAATGAGCCTTGATTTCGTTTTTGGTGCTAATTCTTGTGCACTAGATTTCTTTCATTTACTTTTCTTTTAACTAAACGAACTAAACTGAACTTACGCTCTATCTAAATTTCTGTAAATGCATTTCCGTTAGACTTTTTAAATGAATTGATATATAGTTATCCTTTTTTTTTTAAATCTTCAATTTTGGGAAGCTAACTCGGTTTTGACCACACTAAACTTGTCCCTAAAGTGACTCGATTCCTTTTTTCGCCATCGAAATTTCTTCAATGGCTCGATCAATTGAAACTCGTTTTAGCCTATTTTGTAGAGGAGATTTACAACTTTCAAATAGTTTATAACATTCATCGATATCTGGTTTCTATCGTTGGAAATTGATGAAAATGTGTTGAATTCCGCATTTCTTATGCATTTACCTAATAGTTTACATTTAATTAACCCAATTTTTGATATCATTTAACTGATCTTTCATTCATTTAGTAGTAAAAGAAACTCAATCGAATAGAAACTATCAACAGATTATGACAGTTTTAGAAAATAAAGCATTTTAATCTATAGTACCTGAAAAAGTACAGTATAATACAGTTTTCTAAAACTGTACAGTATAACTTTCTAAAACTGTACAATATAACTTTCTAAAACTGTACAATATAACTTTCTAAAACTAAAACTTTAAATAAAACTCTCAACGAACCTTTAAATATATCTTTTCAACTCAAACATTCAGCAAAAATTTGCAAAATTCTTTGCAATCAAATATTTTGACAGAAAAGCAGCAAAAGATTTGTTGTTTTTTTTCTTAAAGAGAGTGCAATTGCTTTGATGTATTTTGACAAAAACTTCTAGAAAAAACAAAAGAAAAAAAGAAAAGTCATTTGATCGAAAATCGTGATATCTTTTTGCCACTTTTTACCACAAGGACCCTATTCAAAAAATTTGATTTCTCTTCGTGGGGAAAATGTCAAAAAAAAATTTGCTGACTAATCACCAATTTCACTTATTAGCTGGGTTTAAAAGGTTGTGTGTGTGTTTTTTTTTTTGCGGTATTTTCTTGTCTTTAGTTGGAATTTCCCATTCCATTTCGAGAATGGCAATGGATGAGTGGAGAAATTTTGCGAATCATTTTACCAATCATTCACGAGTCATCACGAATGCATACAAAAAAAAATAGCAAATTAATGATGGCAAATTTAAAATCCCTGCCTACTGTTAAAGAATTGTCCCATAATTCTTACTGTAATGAAAATTTTATAAAAGGATTATAGTAGATCGTAGATCTGATGGACAAGCATAGAAAGTAACTGTTGATTGAGGAGGTTGCTCTTCCATTTCGAGAAAGGGGTTCTTTCAGAAAAAGGGGTTTTTTTCTGCAAAAAACAACTACAATATTTTCCGTAAACATAAGACCCAAGTCCCTATTTTCTTGAAAAAAGTGGAGGACGAAAAATTTCTTATTCGCGCAACTATGCTCTACGATTTTAAACAAGGAAAATCAGCCGCTGAATCTCATCGTACAATTATTTCCGCTTTTGGAGATGGAAGTATTAGCGAAATGTCAATGTCGAAAATGGCTTCAACGCTTTCAAAGTGGCAACGAAAGTCTCCAGGATGAGCCGCATGAGAGGCACCCTCCAGGAGGCTTTCTGCCAGCAAAAAAGGTTGCTCTAAAAAGGTTGCTCTTGGTTCTAAAAACTTGCTCTCTAGAAAATGGTTCAAATTTCATAGATTGGATGGCTTAGAGTAGCCCGTGGAAACAGTCGGCACACAATGTTTATCAGTTGACGCTATCAACCACACAAAACTGTTGATAGTTTGAAAAAAGCGCTCGAAAAGGCTTGCGAAGAGCTGGATCTCCTATACCTTCTAGCCACGATCGACGCTTTTCTACGACGTTTGGACGCCTCTAGTAGCCATAAAGTTATAGTTGTGTTGCCCACTAAATATCGGTAATAGTTCGAGAGAATTTTTCACCTACATAACCAAGTCAAGTGTCACCGCAATAAAATGCCGCCAGAAAAAGCCGCTCATAATCCTATGCGAAGCCCGGTTGCTCAATTTACAGCACTTCTCCTTTTAGTGGCCAAAAAAATTCAAAAAAAAAAGATCATAAGATGAAAGCTTTGAGGAAGGGACACACAACCTGAAAACAAATGAGAAATAAAGGAGAAAAGTTCTGGTAAAAAGTGAAAAGGCCCGTCACTTTTCCCCCCTTGCTTCATACACATTTTCTCAGCCACATTAAACGAGCGCCGCCACACACAACATGCTATTTTCTATAGCGGGACCTCAAAAATGCATCCTCCTTTTGCTATGCAGTATTTCGCAGGGACTAACTTTTCGATGAAGTTGTAAACTAAATAAACAGACTTTTTTTTTAATGAGTAGTGCTACTTCAATAAAAGAAAAATTGATTTTACAAATGATGAATCGATCAAAGTACGGTTTACATCATTGGAAAGATCTATTTTTCTTCTATTGAAATAGCAATACTCATTCAAAATACCTGTAGAGAATATACAGTGGTCCACAAAAGTAATGCCCCATTGCCATCCAACAGTGTGTTTTGTAAGGAAATCTTGCAAAATTGATATTTCAGAAAAAGAGTAGGGTATTTTTATCTACCTGTTTTGCTTGGATCGTTTTTCACCATTCTGGTCACGGCTTGATCTTCTTTTGTGGTTGTGATTGGTCGTCGGCCACTCTTGAGGCCTCGATAAAGGTTTTTGCCGACTTTTGATTGAGAAAAACGCGGTGCACTGTCCATATCGAGCAATTGAAGAGGTTGGCCACACCCTTCTCCCGCATCCCATTTTCCCGGGCCTTAGCGATTTGGAGCTTCTTCGGAGTGTCAAGATTTTTCATGTCAGCAATCTAAATAATACAATAGAATACACTTAATGTTCATAGAAGCGGAAACAAAAAGAATAATCATGAAAACGATCAATGGGGCATTACTTTTGTGGGGCTAATTTTAGGGGTAAGTGCACTCTTCGACATCGATCTTTTGTTTGGAAGGATCTCAATCAAAAAAAAAAATCCAGTTATTTAACAACTAGAATTTCTAAAGTATTTTAAAAGAAAAATATAAATTTTAAACATATGTTTTCAGGAGGAATTTTGCAAAAAATACTTTTGAATGGCAATGGGGAATTACTTTTGTGGACCACTGTATACCTGTAAAACTGTAGAGATGATTTTGATGAAACTCCAGAAAATTTGTGACTTATAAAGCACTCGAGAAAATGTTACGATAGCTTGTGGTTGTGTTTTAGCAGTCGAAGCTTTGGTGTACTTTAGAATGTACCAAAATTTCTTTGCCAATTTCTTTTTGAAAATTTTGGATGTGATGAAAAAAGAGACTTAAGGCTTGAGCAAACTTCGCCAACCTGACACTATATTTTGAGCAAAAGGACTTGGCCTTTTACTGCAACGAAACATTCTCACAGTAGTTAGACACCAATCTTCTCGTATTTATTTTCCATAAACTTCCTCTCAAAAACAAGCACACAAAAATCGAGAATTAACAATTTTAGTTTTTTTGTGTGTAGAGTTTCTCAAAGATAAGCCTATTCCTTCTTTTCATCACTCAAATCGATGAGATTAGGTGTCTTGGCTGCCGTGTCACGCTCTGACAAACTGCCTAAAACAAAAAAAAATACTTAAAGTGTTACTGTTTTAGGCACTCTTACCCGAATCTCTTTTCTTCTTCAAAGTCGAAAAAAGCCGAGACATCATCGATGAGCTCTCTCGATTGCTACTTTCCGATTCCTAAAATGAAATGGACCAAAAATGTTAAGGAAAATCAGCTAACCTTGTGCTCCTCTGCAACTCGACCGTCCAAAATTGCTCTTTCGTTTTCATTGGGCGGGCTAATCGTTCGCTGAAGGAAAAACTCAATGTGGTTCGTTAAAAAATGTTGAAAGTCCTATTCACTATTATTAGTGCAAGTATTAAAGTACTTGCACGACAAGAACAGTTGAGAACATCAATCTATTAGCTTACGACTTTGCTATAGTTAAAAATAGATACTTTACGGCATTTTAAACAATAAAAAATGATCAGCTACCTAATTTACTCCTTCCAATAACGTTTCTTAACTTAGAAACCGGAAAAACCACGTACTTCTTCCGGTTGATGTGCGGTGCGCATGGGTTTATCTTGAACACTCTTCGGCAAGGGACGTCCACTCTCCTCGTAGGCCTCACAGACGGCTGAAATGAACAAGTAAAGCAGCAGTAGTATAAAAAATCAACATCAACATCATCAACAAACATCTCACCTTTACGAAAACGATCTCTCTTTGCCATTCGTCTACGCTCGGCCTCAGCTTGGTTGTCGACTTCACTCTGAAAGTAAAAAGTAAAAAGTTAGTCATTTTCAACAGCAGAAATTCATTTATGTAAGCCTTTTCTAAAAGTTTCAAGAAGCTAATCAAGTAAATAATACCTCCGAAGCGGATGTTTGTACACGAAGCGTATGAGGAGAATGGTAGGCAGCTTCTAAAACAGAAACATTATCACAAGAACTTCTAAAACATTATCACAAGAACAACCTCTTTCATAAGTTCTACTCTGCTTGGGTATTTATTCATTAGAGAAGCGGCTAAAAGTGGTTCAAATCCTAATACGCGACATTTTAGCTATTTTAGCCTTTAATTCAATCCTACTTTCATAATAACTATTCTTAAACTAGCACACAGCAATATATTACAATAAAAGCTAAAAGAAATCACCTGGCAGCTTATTGTATTTGATTCGTCGAGTGCGAAAGTCGATGCACCCCGCGATGAAAGCAACCACCACGAGAATCACGAGCAACGCGGCAAGCACGCCGAGCACCCAAGGTCTAAAAAATGAAAGAAACATTTAAAATTGAAGGCTATAATTAAAGTATACGTTGAAAGCCTGTTAAATACAGGCTATTTGAGGCAAATTTTGTTAAATCTTAGAGGGTGGGTATTAATCGCGGTCGGATGACCATAAAAAAATTTTTTAAGGCAATCATTTGACTTGAGAAAGTTGACTTCTATGTGGAGCTCCCCTTTTAAGCATTTATCGGCTTTAATCGAACAAAACGGTAAAACTTACTCGAAATATTTGAATACGAGACCATCACCGTCGCTTGCTTTTGTCATTGAAAATCTAAAGAAAAAGTTAAAATATGAAATTGTAGCAAAAGCTTACTACCGTAAATACTGTAATAGTACCCCACCCCGCCTCGTACAGTCGCGTAGTCGCAAAAGTTTTTTAGTATTTCAGTGTTTTTTAGTGTTTTAGTATTTCATTTTTTTCAAAGCGCTCGTACTTTCAAAAAATGCGTGTTGGGTATCAAAAAATAGCTGAAATTCAGGGCTATTTTTTGATACCTAAGCGCGCATTGTAGCATAAGCCAGTGTCGAGAAAAAGAAAAACTCGGGCAAAGCTAGACTACGCAAACACTCCGCAACACAACACTCTAACACGAGAACGGCGCCTTTTCCGACTACAATCATCACTACACCAAAAAGGCCGAGAGCCACCACCCCCGATTATCAAAAAAAGAGTGTTCACATTGACCGAAGACAATCCAGCATTCGCCATTCATCTCATGCGATTGTCTGACTTGGGAGTGAGAGCTTATTATTAGTAGACAAATCCTAATCCTATGAGCGTGGGGTACTATTACAATATTTACCGTAGTTTATTGAGAGAGCGAAATGAAAAATGTGGAAAAAACTAAAAGTGAAAGCTTTTCGTTTCGTCGAAAATTCTTTTAAATGCAAATGTTTCAATGCAAATTGAGAATTCGGTGGTTGTATTGATGTTTGTCTTTCTCTTGAGCACTTTGAATATCGAATATTGAATACTGTAGGGATATTGTAGCTATAGTATTCCATAAATACTATAGCTACAATATTCCATAAATACTATAGCTAGTTATTCCATAAATACTATAGCTACAGTATTCCTACGTCATTTAGTTTAATCTATTTAATATTTAAAGTTTTTTTATATTTCGGAACCCCTTTCCCTCCTCAACTCTCGGATTTGTTGAATTGGGGAAAAGTTGCAATTTGGATTTCCGCTCTCTGTGCAGGTGAAAAGTCGATCGGTTCACAAAAGAAAAGGAAAAAAAGGAGGCAAAGAGACACACTTCTCGAGATGAGGAGGGGAAATTCTAGGTCAACCAATCTTGTCAAGAGCCTTTTCTTGTACAAGAAAGGACATGGTAGAGGAGAACAATTCAGGGCCCTTCTCCTTTCCTCTTTTTCTTTCACTCTTCATCCGACCTTGTCCCATCGAAACCTCAATATGGAAAGAAGAGGTATTCAAAGCAGAAATGCGGACACAAAGTTAGCACAATTTTCTTTCAACTGAAGAAACTGATTGGGTAAGATTTGTGCGTGGAGAATGAAAAAGAGAAAGTTTCAATCATCACTTCAAACGAATTGAACTGGTCGACTATTTCGAGTCAATTGGTTGCAGAAAGTTAAATATAAAGATTTAGATACTATTTGAAAAGTTATAGAATATTATACCTAATGCTAAGCTACTACTAGATACTACTAGCTACTACTAGCTACTACTAGCTAACTAACACTACTAGCTACAACTAACTACTACTAGCTACTACTAGCTACTACTAGCTACTACTAGCTACTACTAGCTACTACTAGCTACTACTAGCTACTACTAGCTACTACTAGCTCCTACTAGCTACTACTAGCTACTACTAGCTACTACTAGCTACTACTAGCTACTACTACTAGTTCTTAGTAGGCTTTAATCTTTTTGTTCTTTTATCTTTTTGAACTAAGCGAAACACTGGAATTATATCAAAGAGCCTTTTGATTAGTATGTTTTCTAAAATCTTTTAACTTTGATAGATAATTCTGCTTTTAGTTTATCAAATTTATTATATAATATAGGCTTAGATGCAATGCTGAAAGATACCAGAATAATTGATTAAAAGATTGTAAAGTTGGCGAACTTTATAAAACCAGTTAAGCTTTAATAAAGTACCAAACAATAAGCAATATGAGTAACGGATTTCAAGTAGAGTGTGTTCCTCACGAGTAATACGTTTTTTTTTTAAAACGCAGACTTACCGTACTATTACAGGGGTGGGGTACTATTACAGTGTTTGTAAATACTGTAATAGTACCCCACCCCCTTCGTACAATCGGGTAGTCGCAAAAGTTTTTTAGTATTTCATTTTTTTCAAAGCACCCGTACTTTCAAAAAATGCGTCTTTGGTATCAAAAAATAGCTCTGAATTTCAGCTACTTTTTGATACCTAAGCACGCATTGTAGCATAAACCAGTGTCGAGAAAAACTCGTTCAAAGCTAGACTACGCAACACTCCGCATCGTCATTATGGGGCTGGGGTACTATTACAGTATTTACGGTAGTTTATTGAGAGAGCGAAATGAAAAATGTGGAACAAACTAAAAGTGAAAGCTTTTCGTTTCGTCGAAAATTCTATTACAGTATTTACGGTAGGAAAACTTACCGTACTTTTAGTGAAAATTATTGCAAAAAATTGGGGAGTGGGACAAATGTGACCTTTTTTAGCGCACCCGGACATTTGCGCACCTTTTTTTCCGCACCTTGCCCATTAGCGCACCTTTTTCGCGTTTTAAAAAAAGCTCTAAAAAGCTAATATTAACCAATTTCTATTCCGAAAGTTGTTTTTCTAGGTAATTTGAGGGTGTCGAATTCAAATTTTGACATAACAGAGCGTGTGGAACCAATTTGAAAGACAAAACGGCTAGGTCAAATTACAGAAAATTGTTGATTGTTGATTGTTGATTTTTCTCTTTGTATAACTCCGTCCGTTTGTTTCCACAAGCTCTGATATGTCAAAATTTCGATTCTACGCCCTAAAATTACCTAGAAAAACAACTTTCGGAATAGAAATTGGTTAATATTAGCTTTTTAGAGCTTTTTTAAAACGCGAAAAAAGGTGCGCTAATGGGCAAGGTGCGGAAAAAAAGATGCGCAAATGTCCGGGTGCGCAAAAAAAGGTCGCATTTGTCCCACTCCCAAAAAATTGACGCAAAAAATCACGAGCCACGACTTATATACGACTCTTTTTAAAGATATTCAGCCGTTTAACTGATTTGGTGGCAAATTCCCTTCACAAGTAAAGATATTCAATTTACTCGACGTGTAAAGAGGATTTACTCGTAGCTACTCGATCAAAAACGTCGATTAATCGAGAAAAAATTACTCATGCGAATTTTACTCGAATAATTAATTAATAATTAATCAATTAATTACTTACTCGCGAGGAAAACACTCTAATTTCAAGACATACTTAAAAATTAATAGAAACAATCCCTGGTTGATTTTAGAATGACCAATTTTCCACTTCAGCTAATCAAAATCGATTGGTCATCGATTACTCCAGTGATCCACTCTTTTCCCCAACTCCACAAATCAATTTGCATTTGATTCGCCAAACATTTTCTTGTCCTTTCATCTATTTTCCCCATCCTCAAACGGTCCCAATCGGCGCCACCCAAAAAAAAAAAAAGCGTGCTCAAGAAAGCGAAAGCTCAAGTGAGCCCCCGTTTACACTTTCACTAAAATGACCAGACTGCTACAAAACAATCCCTCCAAATATGCTCTTGAATGCGCAAAGCAATGTATAAAGAAATTAGGTCAAAAAAGTTTTTTTTTTCTATAGAACCCACCGGAACTTCTCGATGTCGGGGGTTTTTTTTTGTGCAATATGTCCTCGAACTCTTTCTCAAGACCAACGACAAGTCAGTCTCCATTTTTTTTTTGAGCGAACTTTGGTCGTACCTTTTTTTGCTTAGTATTTCTAGATTACTGTTGATCTACTTACCTTAAATTTTATCTAAATAAAAGCCTCTAATGAGCTTTTGATCTATCGTAAACTTAAAAAGCTACCGTATCATGTCTGAGCTTAAATTACTTTTCTATACAGCTATCGTACTGTTTTAACTATTAAGCTATTAAGCTAACGTGTAAAACAAGATGGTAGCTTAGTAGTTACTAAGCTACTAAGTAGTTACTAAGCTACTAAGTAGTTACTAGGCTACTAAGTAGTTACTAAGCTACTCCCTAAGCCTGAGCCTGAGCCTAAGCCTAAGCCTGAGCCTGAGCCTGAGCCTAAGCCTAAGCCTGAGCCTGAGCCTGAGCCTGAGCCTAAGCCTAAGCCTGAGCCTGAGCCTGAGCCTGAGCCTGAGCCTGAGTCTGAGCCTAAGCCTGAGCCTGAGCCTGAGCTTAGTAGTTACTAAGCTACTGTACTGTTTTATACGCTTACTGTAGCAGACTAGCGATTATATATGCTTTAAGAGCTCAGGTTCTGTCATAGATTGACTTATAAGCAGGCTACTGTACCTAGCCTAGCACAGGTAGCTACCGTATATCTTATTGTAACGGATCTCTATACAGCACACTAAGCTACGGTATCTTCTAAGAGGTGTTAGTATAATAGCAACAAGCTGCTATACTTGGCAGTACTAAATCTAAGCCATTTTACCGTACTGCAATACTATTGACCTGTTTATACGTTACCACATTAGGTTCTGTAAGTTAAAAATTAACAAATGAAATCCAAATGTTGACTGTCTCAGTTTGCAGAGACAATTTTAGGAGTTGTTTCAGAAATAATTTTGTAATATACATATTGGTTTGACCGGAAAATCTTGAAATTTTCGTTTATATTAGGTAAATGCATAAAAAAATGCGGATGAAAGATGAAAAATCAGTTAAATGATATCAAAAAATGGGTTAATTGAATGTAAACTATTAGGTAAATGCATAAGAAATACGGATTTCAACACATTTTCATCAATTTCCAACGATAGAAAGCTGATATCGATGAATGTTATAAACTATTTGAAAGTTGTAAATCTCCTCTACAAAATAGGCTAAAACGTGTTTCAATTGATCGAGCCATTGAAGAAATTTCGATGGCGAAATGCGAGTGACCAAAAAAGGAATCGAGTCACTTTAGGGACAAGTTTAGTGTGGTCAAAACCGAGTTAGCTTCCCAAAATTGAAGATTTAAAAAAAAGGATAACTATATATCAATTCATTTAAAAAGTCTAACGGAAATGCATTTACAGAAATTTAGATAAAGCGTAAGTTCAAAAGCCTCAAAATTGTCAAAAAACCGGCT